ATAGGCCAGTCACAAAAGGACAAATAGTGTGCTTATATAAGATACTGTCTTAGTCAGTTCAGGCTGCTGTAACAAAATACATACACCAGGTGGCTTAAATAATGGAAATTTATTTCTCACAGTTCTGAGGGCTGGCAAGTCCAAGATCAAGGTGCTGGTGGACTCAGTGCTTGGTGAGAGCACTCTTTCTGGTTATGTCCTCACATAGAGGAGGGAGAGAGAGCAAGCTCTCTCGTGTCTCTTCTTATGAGGGCACTAATCCCATCATGAGGGCCCCACCTTCATGACCTCATCCAACACGAACCACCTCCCAAAGCCCTCTCCTCTAAATACCATCACGTTGGGGATTAGAGTTTCAGCATATGAATCTTGGGGGACACAAACACTCAGGGCAGCAGGTAGCCAGAAGAGTCCAATTCACAGAGACAGAAAGTAGAATGGTGGTTGCCAGCAGCTTCTGGGAGGTGGGAAGGGGGAGTTAGTGTTTAATGGGTACAGTTTCAGTTTGGGAAAATGAAAATGTTCTGGAGATGGATGGTGGTGATGGTTGCACAACAGTGTGAATATACTTAATGCCATTGAAACATACACTTGTTAAAATGATAAATTTCATGTTATGTATATTTTCCCACAATAAAACAAAAGAGAGTCCTTGTCAGAATGAACTAAATGTTTAAATTTTTGTGAAACTACCCAGAGCATGGAGTTACTGTCACTGGCTGATAACCCAACTTCCAGAAAGCTCAGGGTCCTTGTCCTCCCCAGCTGAGTTTGTCCCTCCCCATCCATTGGAGAGGATGGCCACTTGCCCACCCAGGGGTTCCCGCCTGATGCAGTCACAGACAGGCCTAGGGAGGAGGGGGGCCACTCAGGGAAGTTCTGAGTGTCCCCTCAGGAGGGCCAGGCAGGAGTTATTACAAACAGCACACAGGGTAGGAGTCCATTTCTGTGTGGGTATCTAGGTTCACGCGTATGTGCACGCACATGTGTGGACACCTGTGCCGATATGGGTATAGGGATGCAGACAAATCCTAGTTGGCTAAGCACCGAAATGGTAATATTGATGTTTTTTCTAAGTAGTAAAGTAATTTATTGTCTGAACCTTTTATTAAGGGGCGTATCAACTTTTTTGTTTTTGTTGTTGTTGAGGAAGATTGGCCCTGAGCTAACATCTGTGCCCGTCTTCCTCTACTTTATGTGGGACACCTGCCACAGTGTGGCTTGTTGAGCAGTGCATAGGTCCGTGCCTGGGATCCGAACCTGCGAACCCCAGGCCGCCAGAAGCGGAGCATGGGAACTTAACCACTATACCACCAGGCCAGCCCCTCAACTTTTAAAGAATATATTTAAAAATTTTGAATTATGAAATGTTCCAGATATGTAGAAAAATACAGAGAAAAATATGACAAAACCTACACGTCCACCAAATATATTGTCATATTTGCTTCAGATCCTTTTTTTAAAAAACAGAATTAAAATATTACAGATAGGGTTGGAACCCTCTCCTATCCCATTGCCTCTCCCTCCAGGGAAAAACCACAATCCTGAAATTGATGTGTGCTCTTATATTTTCATGCATGCATCTCCGTTAACAATATAGCATATGTATTTTTGTGTTTACAATTTAATATAAATTAATTATATAATTAATTATAATAAATTCATTTATAATTTAACTAGATGTAATTATAATCAACATGATCATTCATAATTAACATAAGTTAATTCTACTGGATGCATAATTTTGTCTCTGGCTTTTCGCCTTCATTATACTTTAGTGATTTATTCATATTGACACACATAGATCTGGTTCATGCATTGCAACCACTGTGTATTATTGGTTATAGTAATTATTGGTTAAAGCAACCACAATTTGTTTCTCCCATTTCCTGTTGATGGATTAGGTCGTTTCCAATTTCTGACTATCACAAACAATGCTGCAGTGAACACTGAAATACACATATCCTTGTGGACATGCGCAAGCATTGCTCGAGGTAGAAACCTGGGACAGGGATGCTGAATTATGCCTTGGGAGCTGCAACTTTTCTGGTCGTTGCCAAGTCGTTCTCCAAAATGGTGAACCCAAGTTTCATCCCATCAGCAGCATATGCCAGTCCTAATTTCTCTACTTCCTACCCCAACGTTTGGAATATCAATCTTTTAATGTTTGCTAATTGAATGGGTGTGAAATGGTACCTCATCGTTGGTCCCAGTGCATTTCTCTGGTTACTTGTGAAGCTGAGCGTTGTCTTATAGTCAATGGCCCTTTGAATTTTCTCTCCTGTTACTGCTGTGTTTTCATATCCTTTGCCCACATTTCTATTGGTTTTTTTCTTGTTGGTCAATGGGTTGGATTGGCTTAGGAAATAATAAAGTGGTTTCCATTTCAGGAGAAGAAAGGTATTTCCAAGTAGTTTCCAAAAATATAAGGAAATAGTCATTGACATCTTTCTGTCATTCCTGGACTATACCAGCACTCCCCTGCCTCAGAGCCTGTGCCCTTGGTGTTCCTGCTGCCTGGAAGGCTCCTCCCTGAGACATCCTCAAGGCTTCATCCCTCACCTCCTCCCAGGTCGCCTGGGGGGGGGCCTTCACCAACCATCCTAGTCAAGGTTACAATCCTCCCTTGGGCCCCAGCTCTCCCTGGCTACCCCTCCGATTTTATTTTTCTGTGGAGCACATATTGCCATCTGCCATATTTTATTGTTTATGGTGTGTTAAAGACTGCCTTGAATCTTTAACACTTCTCCCGTTGCAAGATGGGTTCTAATGCCCTCCTCCTGAATCTGGCCTGGCCTTAGTAACTTATTTGCTCAAGGTCACACAGCTAGTTAGCGGCAGAGCTCAGGTGCAAATTCCTGCCGACTGGCTCGGGAGTCTGTGTGCCCAGCCTCTGCATGGCTGCTGCCTCCCAGCCGGCCCCCAGAATAAACCAGGCGACTATGTACTCAGGGTGTAAACACCCCGGGAGGCAGGAGGGATTTTTGTTGAGCACCAAACTTCTTCAGAGAAAACAGAAATTAAATTCAGACAAGATGTGAAAGCTTGGATACAAAAAGGAATAGAGGAGGCCAGAAGGATCACCTCTCTCTGTGGGTGTCCAGACCTCCTGACATCTAAGGTTTGGGTGTAAAATGGTATATAATATCCTCTGTAATAAATCTGGAATTAACTCCTAAAAAACTAAGACACTTGTGAAACAGAATATTCTTTTAAGATAGATTTCTTGGTAGAGTTGAATCTATTTGTTTTGGGGTTCCAGTAAGCTTAGTGAGTTTCTTCAAACTGTAGACTTTGTGTTTTCCATTGTGTGTATGCAGATTTTGGAAAGAGTTATTTTGTCTGTCCTCTAAGATGTATAACTTGAATAATTTCTGTTAAAATACCAATGGATATGTACTGTTCATAGGGGGAGCCCAGAAACTGCTTTCCTCCTGTGTCAAAAGACCCCTGACGTCTAGGGTGTCTGGAGAGCCCAGCCACTGGCCTCTCCCCGGCCACAGTTTCCTCACTGAGATGGTTACTGGGTTTGGGAGTTTGGGGAAGAGTTTCTTATTTGGCCTCATTCCTATGCTCACCAGGCTGTAAACTTCCAACTCTAGTTCATGTGTGCACGAAAGAACATCTTTTCAAACCTCAAATGTAACTTAGAGAATTATCAGTTTTCCCAGAAAGGGAAGTTGTTTGTGGGTAAGGGGGGCAGAAGGTTGAGATTGTGGTTTCTAAGATTCTAAAGTTGCAAACAGCTCCCGGACCCAAAGCAGCGGGGAGCAGATTTGGAGCCTTGGTAGTGACCCAGTGAGATGTCTGTCACACAAAAGGATGGGAGCGTCTGAAGCTGACCCAGAATTTTGTTTAATTCATGTTAATTAAAAAGAGACTTCCCTGAATGAAAATCTACATTTCGTCCAGAGCAACATGTATCTTAAAGTTCTGAACTTTTGACACTATATATGAGTGGGCTCATATTTCAACCCTGCCACTTCTCGCTATTCCTATACATCCTCCTTATTGTGAGTTGTATGTGCAAAAATCTGCAATTTAATTTGATAATTATATACCTTGCATCAGAAAACACACATCAAACCTATCGACCTCCCGAGAAAGCCTGCATTTGACTTCTGGAAGTCGTAATTGAAACTGCAAACAAGAACCCTTCCTAACAAGGCATTCCAGATGACTTTCCCCAAGGGCTCTGCCAGCGACCTGCCTCCATTTATCAAATAGTAACGTCTGAATGGATTTTAGTTTTGAGCTGGTGTGTAACAGACTATCTTTCTTTTCACATGAAAAGCATCCCGTTCCTTCTAGTGACTGCAATTACTTTTTGACAGACATATGGTGCGATTGTAGTGAAAGACCCACAGAACCAGCGACTTTGGGATGGGCAGGTGGTGGGTTCCCAGTGCTGAGACTTTGTTTTTGTTTTTCATGCTCCTTTCCTCAGCTAACTTGTTATCTTGATAGAGTAGCTGGGATAATAAGAGAAGTTTATTCACATAGTGGCAAGTTACCCAAGAGATAAAGACTTGGAGGCAGATGGGCAAGAGGATGATAACTCATTCTGGTTGTTCTTTCTGAGACCATGAAGATGAAACACCAGTTGGTATTTTAATTAAAATCAGTAAATCATACACCTTAGAGGACAGACAAAATAACTCTCTCCCAAATCTGCATTCAGACAACAGAAAACTCAAAATCTACAATTTGAGGAAACTCATCTAGCTAATAGGAACTCCAGACAAATCAAATTCTGTCAAGAAATCCATCTTAAAAGCATATCCTGCTCCCCAGATTGTCTTAGTTTCCTAGGAGGTTAGCTCAGAACTCATTACAGAAGATAACATGCCATTTCACCCGCTCATTTTTATCTCTGAGTGCGGGGTCACATTCTGGCTTACCCAGAGTGTATTGTTGGAGTTAATAAGTGAACGGAGAGAAAGCTGTCCGAGCCAATCACCCCCAGCCACTGCCTGGTGGCTTCCCCAGTCAGGACTTACGCTTGTTGGCTTTCAGCTTCTTCTCATCCACGGGAATGAGGTCCAGGTAGTCCAGGTAGTACTCGTAGCTGTAGAGCAGGGCAGAGGCATTGGTCTTGTTGGCCATGTCTGCAGCACATCCGGACTCCTCGGAGCCCTACGAGGAGACTGCCTAGCTGATTTCTGTGAAATCATCCAAGTGTGTCTGTGGGTCTCCAGGCTCAAGGCCTGCCCACTTATCAGAGCTGTTGGCTGGGAGAAAGGTCGGGGGGTGTGCCTGACATCTTCACTATGCAAGTAGAACTTTCCATCCTGCTCCTCTTTGAAAAAACTCCAAAACAAACAGAGCTGCAAGGCAGGAGACCATGTTTCCAGAGCACTCTAGATTTGTCCCTCTGCATAAGGACAGGAAAACAGATACTTGGGGCCTCTGGAAAGACAAGATGCCAGGTAGGGCTGGAAAGGACAACCACTTTTGGTCTTAAATACTTAAAAAGTTAATAAAACCAAAACGAAAGGCTGGTGGTGCCCTTGACTTACATTAAGGCAATTCTTGGTGCTATTAAGCAACCGGCAAGTCACTGGCTTAGGTTCAATATCTGAGGGCAGAAGCTGAGTGATGTTGGCCCTGAACTTGTAACCTCTCTCATGTACACATAGGCAATTAACTAAACCAAAAGAGCCCCCCGCCCCAATTGAGTGCACCTCCCAGCTTGTATCTAAGCTGCCAAGAACCAACAAGTTGGCTGCATTTGTTAAGACTGAAGAGGCTGTTTGCCTGGGCCAAGACCCTACACGAATTGAGCTCTTGGGAAATAGGGCCCCAGGGTTCACCCAGCCCTTGGCTGACGACAAGTGTGACGAGGATTCTTCTGGGTTTCTGTAGGCTCTGACTCCAAGTGATACACTTACTCTTCTAAGAGCCACAGACTCTATCAAGAGAAACATTCTGAATATTTGGAATGAGCAGGACTAAATGTGAGAAGAGCCCTAGAATTCAGCCATTGAGCTTTAGTTAGGAAGTCAGAATACACAGATTTACGGGCACTTCCCCTCCAATATGCTAACTTTCGAGTGTTCTTGATTTAGCTCTATGCTGCCAGAGTAAAGCTGGGCATTGATAGTGTAGACAGCCAATCCGGATCACTTAAGGCCCTCCGCTGGTTTTGATCCTGTACACCCAGGCCTGTCACGCCTGAGGCATTTCGGGGGGACGGCTTCCCCTGAACTGAACCAAGGCTGTTCAGTTGATTAGAAAGGGAGGGATGAGCCGCTGGGTTTCCACAGTGAGGGGGCAGAAGGTCCACTTGAATGACACTCCCCACACCCTGCACACACCTGTGTACTTCCAGGTGTTGCTGTATATGCCGCTGTGCAGTATACGCTGGTAGAGCGTAGGGGACATGAGCATGGATTCTGGAAGAACTGCCTACTTTGAACCCTGGCTCTACATCTGACCAGCAGTGTGGCCCTGGACAGGTGACTTAACCTTAACAATATTTGCATAGTTTAAAAAGTATCTCCTCTAAGTGATTTTTTAGTTACACAGAAGAAAATGGTAACTTTACTATGAGGAAACCCGGCAGACACCCCCTTAAACAAGTGGTCAAGGTTAACACCATCAGCAATGAGACATAGTGACATCATGTACCCACTGAGAAGGGCAGTCACCTCTGTAGTATTCTTGCTAAAAGGCATAACCTCGATCTAATCATGATAAAACACCAGGAAAAGCCAAATCGAGGGACATGCTACAAAATAACTGACTGGTCTTCTTCAAAAGGGTCAAAGTCATGAAAGTTAAAGAAAACCCGAGGAAATGTCGCAGATTGGTGCAGACTAAAGAGACACAACTTTCACTGTATGTAAATTTTACCTGACCTGTAAACAAAATAAATACTGTTTAAAAAAGGGTCATTTCCAAAAAACACTTAAGTCAGTTGCCTCTTTCTAAAGGATCTATATCTGTAGATTATTGGAATTTACATTTCAGTTTTAAGGAATTATTCTTCCTGAGTACAATGCACCTGGAAGGTGTTACCAAGTTCTACTTGAGTGCCCCAAGGACGTCACCAGCCCTGCCTCTCAGATGCGGAACCTCTTCTCTTTCCTGTGGCCCATCTCCCGAGAAGTGAGGCTGGGACATGAGAAACACATTGAGCCTAACTCTTAAGATACAACACCAAGATTTTGGGGGGTCATTACTCAAGTGCTGCTAGTTTCAGAAGTTTATAGGTGTTCCTAAAGGTCATCAAATTTGTGTCAGTAGGGCCAGCCCTGGTGGCCTAGTGGTTAAGTTTGGCATGCTCCACTCTGTCGGCCCGGGTTTGGTTCCCAGGCGTGGACCTACACCACTCATTGGGGGCCGTGCTGTGGTGTTGACACATACAAAATAGAGGAAGATTGGCACGGATGTTAGCTTGGGGTGAATCTTCCTCAGCAATAAATAAATAAATAAATAAATAAATAAATAGTATAAATAAATAAATGGATTGAAATTAGGAGGTTGGTTGGGGTTTAGGGGAGGATTTTCACATCTTTATGTAACCTTTTTAAAATTGAAGAATTATAGATAAATTTACCTTTTTCTTCTTTTCTTTCTTTCCTCGTGTACTTGTCAGGGCTCTCCAGAGAAACAAAGCCAATAGGAGGATATATACATATATATTACTGGCTTGAGGAGTCAGGGGATAGAGCTTGGGGCAGCAGATATACATACATACATATATATATATAAAATGAGATTTCTTATAAGGAATTGGGTCATGCAGTTATGGAGGCTGAGAGGTCCCACTATCTGCTTTCTGCGAGCTGGAGACCCGGGAAAGCCATTCGCGTAGTTTGAAGGGATGAGAGCCAGAGAGCAGATGGTGTAGATTCCAGTCTGAGTCTGAAGGCAGGAGAACCAAGCAGGGAAATATCAATGTCTCAGCTCAGGAAGTCAGGCAGAGAGCGGATTCAACCTTTTTGTTCTATTCAAGCCCTCAATGAACTGGATGGTGCCCACCCATGTTGGGGAAAGTCATCTGCTTTACTCAGTCCACTGATTCGAGTGCTAATCTCTTGTGGAAACACCCTCACAGACATAACCAGAAATAGTGTTTAAACAGGTATCTGGGCATCCTGTGATCCAGTCAAGTTGACACATATAATTAGCCATCACACCTTCTTTCCTTCCTTCCTTTCTTCCCTCCTTCCTTGTTATATTTTCCAGTTGAACATAATTTAATTTCATTTGCTTGGAATTTTCACTTCTACGTGACAAAATACTCATTGCTAAAATAAATTCCTTGGTCCGATAATAATCTTGACTTTAAAATGCCCATGAAAGTGCGGTGGTAGGAAAACACATTTTAAAAAAAAATTCCCCTTTCGACATTAGTAAGAACTAATACCTCCATGAAGGTCAGCTCTCTGAGATAATAATGACATATTTATATTGACAAATACCTCGTCAATCAACAGACTTGACTGTTGGCATTATTTTTCTTCCCACTTTAATTTATAACCCAAAGTGTGAAGGTGAAGTTGATTTTTCTAGAGTGTTTTCTTTTACAGGAAATGTGCACACTCGTTAGCTATCATTGTGACTACAGATTGAGTACAGGGGAGAAGGTAAAAGGGAGAGCTCTAGAGAGGGAGGGGAACAAACATTTATTGAACAGTGACCTGAGCCGGCCACTGTGTTAGGTGCTTTACATGATTCTCACAATATTATGCCTCAGGTGTGGCGAGCCCCATTTTCCAGGCAGAAACGTGGGATACAGTCAGGTGGGGGCAGCCTCCATGCTCTGCCCAGTACCCCTGGGATCTGCAAACTGGAGTGCATTAGCATCCCATGGCTGCCATAACAAATTACCACAGACTTGGTGGCTTAAAACAACACAGATTTATTATTTTATCATTGTGGAGGTCAGAAGTTCGAAATGAGTCTTAGGGGGCTAAAATCAAGGCGTTGCCAGGGCTGGTTTCTTCTGGAGGCCTGAGGGAGAATCCGTTTCCTTGCCTCTTCTGGCTTCTGGAGGCTACCCTCATTTGTTGGCTCGTGCTTCTGCAGCATATCACCTTTTCCCCCTGATTCCACTCTCACATCACCTTGTTCTTCTGTCAAATCCCTCTCCTCCTACTTCTTATAAAGATACTTGTGATGACATTGGGCCCCCCCCCCCAGATAATCCAGGATAATCTCCCTATCTCAAAGTCCTTAACTTAATCACATCTGCAAAGTCCCTTTTTCCTTATAAAGCGACATTCCATATGAAGAAACAGGTTTTTGGGGGGCTTTGTTCAGTTACCACAAGGGGCAAACATCGTCATGTTGTGGGTATACAAATCCTTAAAATAAACACAGCATTTCTCTCTGGAGTGTCCATTTTTGTTCAAGATTTTTGGTATAAAAGTCACATTTTCATATTGAAATAAGCAGAGGTATATAACAGAGTAAATGCAAAATTTGCATGACTTTTTCAAAAAATAAATTTTATCATAGACAATTTCAAACATTTGCAAAAGCAGCAAGAATAGCATAATGAAACTCCATGTAACCATCACTCAACTTCACCAATGATCAAGTCATGGCTAACTCAGTTTCGTCTGTACCTCCATCCACTCCCCCCATTCTGGATGACTGTGAAGCAAATTCTAAATATATCATTTCATCGGTAAATATTTCAGCATGTCTCTCTGAAGGAGGATTCTTTCTTTAAAAAATAAAACCATAATACTACTATCCCACCTAAAAGTTAACACTAATTATTTAATTGCATCAAATATCTAGTCAATGTTCAAGTTTTCCCCTTGTCTCATAATTTCTTGTATAATTAATTTGCTCACATCAGGAACAAATAAAGTGCATGTGTTGCAATTGGTTGATATGACTCTGGAAAATTGTTAAATTTATAGGTTTCTTCCTCCTACACCCTTTTATTTGACCTTGCAATTTATTTGTTGTGGAAATGGGTTATTTGTCCCGAAGAATCTGCCAGTTGGAACCCATGGTGGTGTTAGTCATGTTCCCCATTCCCTGTATTTCCTGGAAAATGAACTTAGATCTGCAGGCTGGATCAGATTTAGGTTCAATTTTTTTGGCAAGAATACCTCAGAGGTGGGGTGATGTTCTTCCCTCAAGAGGCACATAATGTCCAGTTGTCTCTTTTTCTGTGTGATACTACCGGCCAGTGATGATCATTGCCGAGATTCTTTAATACATTTGGCATTGTAAAATGCTGATCTTCTTATTCTATCATTCCTTGTTCACTTATTGGCTGCTATCCTTCTAAAAAGAAAAAGAAA